CACTCCCGTCAACAGGCGGCGGTAGTCCGTAGTTGCGGTGGTCCGAACCACTCGGCTCCCAGGATTGGTATCCGCGAGACGGCCGCTGCGGCGGAAACCCGGGTCGTGATGATTCACGGCCAAGCAACGCCGGCGCCTTGGTTTTTGTTTACCGTCATCTGGGCCTGGCGGCGTCACTTGACGAAACACTGACCGCCATGAGGACTTCGGCGTGGGTGCGCTCCCATCGTGATAATGACGGAACGAAACTCGGTGACAGAAAGCCCCAGCTCATTTTCTCTGTTGTCGGCGGCGGAAAGAGATGAGAATACCGTTGACGCAAAGGAATTTCACCGGTCTTGTGGCAACAAACAGCGACAGGGCATGCGATGTTGCTGGCCGTAATGGACGCCGTATGGCCAGTGCAGCCGGTACGCCCTAAAGCCCCAATCATCATCAGCTCCTGGTTGTGGCGGCTGTTCACTGTGCGGGTGTGAAACATGCACAATTGCGCGTTGCGACGAAGGGAGGGGATGTGCCGAGGCGAAGGGTCGGTGTGTGCCGAGGCGAATGAAGGGGGTGTGCCGAGGCGAAGGGAGGGTATGTGTCGAGGCGAAGGGCCTGCGTGTGCCGAGGCGAAGGGAGGGGATGTGCCGAGGCGAAGGGAGGGGGTGTTGCCGAGGCGAAGGGAGGGGTGTGCCGAGGCGAAGGGAGGGATGTGCCGAGGCGAAGGGAGGGGGTGTCCGTGGCGAAGGGACAGCGTGTGCCGAGGCGAGGGGAGAGGGTGTACAGAGGCGAAGGGTCGCTTTCGTCGGGGCGCAGTATGTCTGCGTTCGGTCGTTTGGCGACTACCCAGTCAAATTTGACCAAGGCTACATACCGAGTGGCCTATTATCGCGTGGTCTGCAGCCAGTGTCACAGTCGGTGCCTGCCAGTGAACGCCGTACATTAAACGTCTGCGTGACATCTGTGAGGAGCAGTTGCCACAGTCGGTGCGCGCCAATGACCTCCGTAAATAACCCGTCGGCGTGAGACCTGGCTAGTGCTCGAGGCGCGCTGTGCGGTCATCTGTCTAGTGGGCAGCTGTGTCGACGCCGCTCTGTGCAGAGCTGGCCGGCAGACCGAGCCGTCTCCCCATAAACACCGACGAACCGACGTCTCAAACTGGGGCTGATCCATGACGATGCAAATTATCTGATGTACGCGCGGCTGGGCTGAACATGAGCTACGCCACGCTTCCGTGTGACGACGGTGGGCTGGAATCGCGGGCAGCCCACACTCTTCTCCCGCGCAGATTGTCTCGGGATGGCATGCGGACTCCCTTTCGCACTTCCGACGTTCTGCTGCTTTGTTTTCACTCTGTCACTCACGCCGGCCTGGAATGCAATGGGATGTTCTGCCCGACATTGGAAGGGAACAAAGGCCGCTCCCGGCTCCGCCGCAACAGGTGTGTACAATGAATCGCTGCCGGGCCAGCGCCAAGGCCCTGGGAGCGCCCCTCCCCCTCCCCCCCACGCCTGCGGGCCGACCTTGAGCTGCGCCGGTCACGTGACTGCGGCCGACGGGGCGGAGTTGCCGCCGCGCCGTCCGTCCGAGCCTGGACTGGGGACGTAGAGGGACGTGCCGTCAGCGGCGCACGGACGGGCCTGCTCGGTACCGTATGCCGTCAGGGGAGGGTGGGGGCCGGGCTGGGGACGGAGAGGGACACGCCGTCAGCAGCGTACGGGCCTTCAAGGGAGGGTGAGGCCTGAACTGGGGACGGAGAGGGATACACCGTCAGCAGCGCACGGGCCTTCAAGAGAGGGTGAGACCTGGACTGGGGACGGAGAGGGATACGCCGTCAGCAGCGCACGGGCATCCAGGATATGGGTGAGGCCTGGACTGGGAAGGAGAGTGACACGCCGTCCAGCAGCGCACGGACGAGGCCTGCTCAGTACTGTCAGGCCGTCAGGGGAGGGTGGCCTGAAATGGGAATCGGAGAGGGACACATCGTCAGCAGCGTACGGACGGGGTCTTCTCATTACTCTTGCATCAGGGGAGGCCCGAGCGCACCAGCAGCGGCTGCGGCCAGCGACGAAACAACGACACTTCGCGGGCCGTAGTGGCCACGTGACGAGAATGTAGCAATTGGGAAAATAAACATGCTTTAGCATAAGTACCTTGAATATTAAGCGATTAAATAGACAGCGAGGATGATTGCCATCAATTTCGATAGGACTTCAGGTTGCAGGCGCTGAAGTTGTAAAGCTCAAACTTTGAGTAGAAGTACTCAATCCTTCGGGTACAGGCGCTCTACACTTATAAAGGCCCGACGAAGACGCCTCTAAGCGCGTAGTGACACGTCATCGAAACGCGAGGCTAGGCCTGGTTACACGCGGCGCCATGAGCATAAGTTTCTGCTGACGATGTAGGGAATGTTGTTGGAGCCTTCCCAGATATCGCCTAACAGTTGGTGACGATGGCGTTCGAATCCAAAGTGCCTCTAGGTTGTTTATTTTCTCCTAGCCTGCACAGGAGCTTTGGATATGAGTCGGACACGATGGCACCGTGCCAGCTGTGGGTGTGTCCGTCGCGCGCTATCAACACATCAATGCTGGTAGATGTAACATTAATATAATATTGTCTGACAAAACTGCGACATTTCTGCGCAAGGAAATGACATTCTGGGAGATCTGGGAGCATTTGACGACCGAGTTTGGGCCTACGGAATGAATGTCTTCAATCTGGCATGTTTCTTAGAATTGGGCGAAACGGCCCTGGTTTCCCGAAATAAGCGTTTCATATCCACAAAGAAAGTAGCACGAAAACGAATGATAAGGCAAAATAACCATAACAGGGCCTTCAACACTCTGCTACTGCGCAGTGTTATGCATGTAAAGGGTACCGTGAGAAGCACGCCATATCTGTCCTGGCGCGGGAAAATGTTCACTGTTTAAGGCAATATTGTCCATACATACCGTGGCTTCAAGGGGAAATGTAGAAAAAAATGGGTCAGGAGACGGCAAACTTTCCACACGTGTCTCTGAAAATTAAGTATGATCCGCTGCACGTGCTGCAGGTTGTCAGCTGTTGCGGACTAGAGCTGAGATATTTAAGCTCTCAGGCTTTGAAATTATGAGCTAAGAAGCTCAAACGGGGAACTTCTTTTCCCCAGCAGCTGACGTCCGCAGAATCCAGTGCGGATTCCTGCGGTCTTGAGGTGCTGCGGACTAGAGGATATTACCTTCCGCAGGGCCGCAAGCGGGTGAACGACTCGACCTGAGCGGTCCTCAGGTCGAGTCGTCGCAACTGCACGCGTCCGCGTGGGACAGCCGGTGGTAGCGAACACTGCAATGGGCCCTCCCCAAAACCCCCACAAATGTGTTCCCCCACCGGCTGTGTGCGGCCGGCCACGCGGCCTGCCGCCCCCCAGCCCGCCGGGACCGGGCCGCGGCCCGCTGATGTGCGTGGCGCCGCCGCTCGGCAGGAGGCCTTCACGGACGTGACGCTGGCCGCGAGGGGCGCACCTTCCTGGCGCACAAGCTGGTGCTGTCGGCCTGCTCGCCGTACCTGCGCGACATACTGGAGCGCAACCCGTGCAAGCACCCGGTGGTGTTCCTGCGCTGGTCGGGTCGGCCGCCGAGCTGCACACCCTGCTGCAGTACATCTACCGGGGCGAGGCGCACGTGCGCCAGGACCAGCTGCCCGGTCAGTGGGCGGCGCCGCCGGCAGGGGCCCCTCTCCTCTCTCCTAGCTCCTCAGTCGGCGCGCGGTTCATGGACGACGCCCCCCCGACTGGGGCGCCGTGGCTGGTGTATTGGTGCGGGCGGTCCGCTTGTCTTGATATCTTTGCGGTTGGAACAGCGGTTTTTCGATGCGGAAGCGGAATGACAGCTCTATCGTGTGTTGGCTTGACGTGTATTGGCGACGGAGCGTGGCCAGGCGACGTCCTGACCCTTATGGTCTGGCGCCGTCTGGGTCTGTCGTGCCCCGTGGGTCTGCTCTGTCGGTGCGCGACCGGGTGCTGACGCCGCCTCCGACCCCCGGCCCTGCCCTGCAGACCTGCTGCGCACGGCCACCGACCTGCAGATCAAGGGACTGGCCAGCGTGGGCGGCGAGCGGCCGGCCGCCGAGCCGCAGCTCAACCCGTACCCGTCGCCCCCGCTGAGCACGCCGAGCCGGGTGCCGCCGGCCGGCCTGCAGGCGCGCGCCGCCGCCGCCCTGCCCACCGCGCTCAACATGAGCACGCCGCCCGGACCGGCCGTGCTCGACTCGCTGCGGCTGCCGCTGCTCAACAAGGTGGGAGGGATGGGTGCCTGCGTCGGACTCCGGGACTTTAAGCTTGGCGTCTCAGAAATAGCGTTCTCGATGGTCTGTACCGTCGGTGGTGTGTCACGGCCTGGTAACCTGGATGCCTTCTACAGATCCCCCAGCAGCATCCATTGCGTGTCTGTCTATGTTCCGCCATGGCCCCGCCACCACCTCGCTCCCCATTATGACTGGTCAGCGCCCGGTCCTGAGGGCCTCTGTAACCAGTCATGTCCGCCGTGGCCCCGCCACCCACCTCGCTCCCATTATGACTGGTCAGCGCCGGGTCCTGAGGGCCTCTGTAACCAGTCATGTCCACCGTGGCCCCGCCACCCACCCTCGCTCCCATTATGACTGGTCAGCGCCGGTCCTGAGGGCCTCTGTAACCAGTCATGTCCGCCATGGCCCCGCCACCACCTTCGCTCCCATTATGACTGGTCAGCGCCGGTCCTGAGGGCCTCTGTAACCAGCCATTGTCCGCCGTGGCCCCGCCACCACCTCGCTCCCATTATGACTGATCATCGCCGGTCCTGAGGGCGTCGTAACCAGTCGTGTGTCGCCTATTGCGACTTGGTTGTTAAAGGTGGCCCTGTTACCCCCTGTGTGATGCCGGCGTCGCGCCCGGGACCTGCGGTGACTGCTGTGTGTGCCGCCGCCTGCAGCTGGGTGCCGCCACGTCTGAACGGGGAGGGCGGCGCCGCTCTCGCCGCCGCCGGCCGACGAGGACGTCCGCCCCGAAGACGGCGCGCTGCCCCTCATCACCTCGGTCAGTCGGTCAGGGAGGAGGACACTGCCCCTCATCACCTCGGTCAGTCCGGTCAGGGAAGGAGGACACTGTCCCTCGTCACCTCGGTCAGTCGGTCAGGGAGGAGGGACAACTGCCCCTCATCACCTCGGTCAGGTCGGTCAGGGAGGAGGACACTGCCCCTCATCACCTCGGTCAGTCGGTCAGGGAGGAGGACACTGTTCCCTCGTCACCTCGGTCAGTCGGTCAGGGAGGAGGGACACTGCCCCTCATTCACCTCGGTCAGTTCGGTCAGGGAGGAGGACACTGCCCCTCATCACCTCGGTCAGTCGGTCAGGGAGGAGGGACACTGCCCCTCATCACCTCGGTCATTCGGTCCGGGGGAGGACACTGCCCCTCATCACATCGGTCAGTCAGGGGGGGCGCTGCCCTCATCCACCCCGATCAGTTAGGGGGAACACTGCCCCTCATCACTTTGGGTCAGAAGCGGGGGGGGGGGGGGTCGGCGCGCTGCCCCCCCCCCCCCATCATGCCACACTGAATTTCATGGCATGACAGTGCACTTATGGCATATGACACCGTATTTCACTCCATCAATACTTAGCTTCGCAGCATGTGTTCTGGGCGTTGCGAACTTGTGGAGCCGGCGTGAATAATCATGCAGTTGGCGCACCCTGAAAACCAAATGGCAACTGCACGTGTGGAACCGTCCCGTGTTTTACTGAAGGGGAATGCCTGTGCTTCTGACAACATGTCTGTTGGCTGGACGGATGGGAGGTGTGTTTGGATCTCACTGCTGTGTTTGACGCTGGCGGCCGGGCTTCAGATAAAGACCGAGACGGACGACGAATCGCAAGGGCCGGCGGCAAACGTCGCTGGTGAGTGTGCCATGTGCCCGGCCCCGGCCGTGGTCACCGGAGCCCAGAGAAGCGGCTGGGGAGGCGGACTGGTTGTCATCGAAATAGTCCACTCGGCCGGCAGGCCACCACACACGACGTGTGGACGCTCTGGGCAGTTTGGTGCGATTTGCACGCAAACTGCAACCTCTGCATTCCTGTTTCCGCCATGTGTTGTACATTGTGCTATACATGCTTAGGGACGTATTGTCTCATTATTGCCTGCTTGCTGTACGTCTGCTAGAAAGTTTTTCAGCAATGTTTTGGTCATCCTGGCTAGCGTTTTGTTTCAGTCGTTCATGTGGTTACGTCTGGCCACGGAGGTAACGTGTGCACCTTGCGCCAGATTTGTCCGAGGTGGTGGAGACGAAGTTCGGCGCGGAGGCGGCAAGCCCGGCGCGCCCGGTCAGCGGCATGGACAACACCCAATCCAGAGCCTGATCGCCCAGCTGGCGTCGCCCCGCTCGGCCACCGGCGGCGCCAAGAAGGTCGGTCCCGTGCCGCCGGTGGCGGCTTTGGCTAGGGTCCACTCAACACCCCCACGAGCCGAGGGGACGACAGGACCCGACTCGAGCCGGACCCGGACCCGGACCCGGACCCGGACCCGGACCCCGGACCCGGACCCGGACCCGGACCCGGACCCGGACCCGGACCCGGTCCGGCTCAACCCCCCACGAGCCAAGGGGACGACATGAACTGGCTCGGGCCGGACCCGGATCCGGATCGGATCCGGATCCGGATCCGGTCCGGCTCAACACCCCCGCGAGCCGGAGGGACGACCGGGCCGGCTCCGGCTGAGCTGCGTCCGCCAGCTGTCACCCCTAGCACCGCAGAGCCGAAGGGAGCCTGCAGCGGAACTTGAAATGTGATGTAGAACTGAAGATTTTTTTGGCTGCCGCTCAAAGAACACCTCGAATGTGTACTCAGTGCACAGTCGGTGGACATCACTCATAGGGTTCAAAGCTAACCCCCGTCAACTTTTGGAGTAGCGATCAGTTTAATCCTCCGTCTTTTCCCGGTCCCTGGCTTCGTCTGACGCCTGCCGCGGCTCACGCAGCCCGCAGTATGCCGGGACCGTCAGGCAGCAGGCTGTCTCCTCGCCGACCTGGCTGGCAGTCCTGCCCCAGGCAGGCCGGTCTCCCGGCCGACCTGGCTGGCAGTCCCGTCTCAGGCAGGTGTCTGTCTCCCGGCCGACCTGGCTGGCAGTCCCGCCCCAGGCAGGAGCCGGTCTCCCGGCCGACCTGGCTGGCAGTCCCGTGTCAGGCAGGTGTTGTCTCCCGGCCGACCTGGCTGGCAGTCCCGTCTCAGACAGGTGTCTGTCTCCCGGCCGACCTGGTGGCAGTCCCGTCTGAGACAGGTGTCGGTCTCCCGGCCGACCTGGCTGACAGTCCCGTTTCAGGCAGCAGGCTGTCTCCCGGCCGACCTGGCTGGCATCCCGTCTCAGACAGCAGGCTGTCTGCCGGCCGACCTGGCTGGCAGTCCCGTCTCAGACAGGAGTCGGTCTGCCGGCCGACCTGGCTGGCAGTCCCGTCTCAGACAGGAGTCGGTCCTGGCCGACCTGGCTGGCAGTCCCGTCTTAGGCAGGTGTCGGTCGCCCGGCCGACCTGGCTGGCAGTCCCGTCTTAGGCAGGTGTCGGTCGCCCGGCCGACCTGGCTGGCAGTCCCGCCCCAGGCAGGAGCCGGTCCTGGCCGACCTGGTTGGGCAACCCCGTCTCAGACAGGAGTCGGTCTGCCGGCCGACCTGGATGGCAGTCCCGTCCCAAACAGGAGTCGGTCTCCTGGCCGACCTGGCTGGCAGTCCCGCTCCCAGGCAGGAGTCGGTCTCCTGGCCAACCTGGCTGGCAGTCCCCGCCCAGGCAGGAGTCGGTCTCCTGGCCAACCTGGCTGGCAGTCCCGTCTTAGGCAGGTGTCGGTAGCCCGGCCGACCTAGCTGGCAGTCCCGCTCCAGGCAGGAGTCGGTCTCCCGACCGACTGGCTGGCAGTCCCGCCTGAGCACCGACGCATCACTGGCTGGGGTTCGGGTCTGTACAGGGTGGGAGGCTCTGTGCCGGAGGTGCCGTCCCATGTACGCCGCATTACGTCCAACCTAACCAGAACTCAGTGTGTTCCAAATAGTGTCTCTGACACGGAGCCTCGCCCCGACCACGATTGCTGCTCAGCCCCTCCCCCTCTCCAGTGTGGCAGAGTTCGGAGCCTCCCAGTTCTGGATGTGGTGCTCATGAGAAAAACAAGCCGGCCTGTTATCGCCCATCGACACGAATCTTACCCGTCATCGCCCATCGGGAATGAATCCTGTCGGTCGTCGTCCATCGAGTGCGAATCCTGCCTGTTGGTGCAGCACCACTGGATAGTGCGCATCGCCCTGGAGAGCGTACAATCATGGCGCCTTTTGCGAGCCTTGGGTCTTTGAACAATACCATTTGTCGTCCAGATAGCGCTTCGGCGCGTGCTTTCGCGTGAACTGAGCTCTGCGCTTTCAAGTTTTTGTTTGACGTTTTCATTTCGCTGCAACGGCTTTTGGTGCTTTTTTGTCACGTCCAATTAGCATGACCTCTGCCCCCTGAACTGCCCTTGGCGCGAGTTTTTGCTTTGTATGTGAACTGTCCCCCCCCCCCCCTCTCCCCTAGTCCGCTATCTCGAGCATAGGCGCTTCACGATGGCTTGCAGAAGCTATTGTATTCCATTTGGATGGTAGTAATTAAGGTTCCTGTCCGAGGTGGTGAAGGAACCCGATCTCCATGAGATGAAAGGAACGAGAGAATAAAGACGAGCCAAGGAATTCACCGTCTGCAAACCGCGAATTGGCTCACCTGTTGTTGTCGGCACTGTCGGCGCATTGACACAGCCAATTGTCAAAGGCAAATGTCATGTTCTTGTGCCAAACGGTCGCAGCACCACTCATACTCGTACGGCCACTGCCATCCCTGTCGGACACAGCCCCACGGGGCTCTCGAGTATGCTGAGAGTGTCTAGTCGCCGAACATTCTACCATCACCCCGCCGTGAGCTGCCCCATGCAGTGGTGCCGCACTGCCACACCGCTGACCTCTCCGTCTGTCGTGCGGAAGCCCCGGCCGCGCACAGCCGCCTTCTGACTGCTGTCATCCTGACCGGCCGTCATCTGCCGCTGTCTGTCTGGCCAGCCACCGTTTGCCGCCTGTCCGCTGACCGGCCTCCGTCTGCCGCCTGTCCGTCTGAGTTCCCCTGACCGGCCGCCCTCTGCCGTCTGTTGTCTGACCGGCCTCCGTCTGCCGCTGTCCGTCTCGTCTGAGTTCCCTGACCGGCCGCCCTCTGCCGTCTGTCTGTCGACCGGCCTCCGTCTGCCGCCTGTCCGTCTGAGTTCCCCTGACCGGCCGCCCTCTGCCGTCTGTCTGTCTGACGGCCTCCGTCTGCCGCCTGTCCGTCTGAGTTCCCCTGACCGGCCGCCCTTGCCGTCTGTCTGCCTGACCGGCCTCGTCTGCCGCCTGTCGTAGAGTTCCCCTGACCGGCCGCCCTCTGCCGTCTGTCTGTCTGACCGGCCTCCGTCTGCCGCCTGTCCGTCTGAGTTCCCCTGACGGCCGCCTCTGCCGTCTGTCTGTCTGACCGGCCTCCGTCTGCCGCCTGTCCGTCTGAGTTCCCCCGGACCGCCGCTCTCTGCCGCCTGTCCGCCTGACCGGCCGCCTCGTGCTGCCTGTACCCTGACCGGCCGAAGTCTGCCGTCTGTCCGCGGGGCCCACGCTGCCGTACTGCGGCGAGGAGACATTCAAGGCCAAGGAGCACCTGAACAGGCACGAGCGCATCCACACGGGCGAGCGGCCGTTCCCCTGGTGCGGCTGTGCGGCAAACGCTTCAGCCGCAAGGACCACCTCAAGATCCACGTGCTGATCCACACCGGCGAGAAGCCGTTACAGCTGCACCATGTGCAACAAGCGCTTCACGCAGAAAGCAGACGTGATCGAGCACGAGACGTGCAGGGCCGGAAGCCGTTCCGCTGCGACCTTGCGACGCCTCGTCCCGGTAGGGGTTGAGTCGGCTAGGCGGAGGCGAGCGGTTACGTCGCCCTCGGAGCCCGTTGTAGTGGCTCGTAGAGGACGGGGGTGTCGCCACGGCCGGGCACCAGCACGGCTGCTGCAGTCGGAGCGGTCCGTAGCTAGCGTGGGGGGGGGGAGCTCCAGCTGTAGCGGCTGCGTTCAGTAGCGCTTGCTGGCCATGTAGCGGTGCTGTCACTTTTAAAACGTATTTCCTTCGCCTTTACGAGCT